TATTTTACTTTTCTTCAATTACATGTTTGCTAATTATACATGCTCTAGTCTACTCATTCTAGCTAATGGTCACAATAACTGAGTGTAACTTTTACTACAGTTTAGTTTGTGTGAACTATTTTAGTTCGTTAACTATATTCAAACTTAAGTTTCATCCTTTAAGTATCTATGTAAACAAAAAACTTCCTTAAAGTTTAGCACAATGACCAAAAGATGTCATTTAATTACTGAAGGTTAAGAAACTAACGGAAGGCTAAAGTTCACATGCGCAACAGGTGATTTTCCATCAGTTTCCCAAGTGTTGAAGAAGTTGGTCCATTAACACTTTGACGCAATCATTCGAAGTATGAGAAAAAGAAAAAAAAAGTCATTCAAAGTAAAAAGTCGTGCTTTAATTGGTACACTACTTACGGTATATACATATTTTAATTCCTTCAATGAATATAGTGGTCCATTATATGGCATTTCCCTTCATTGGTTTCTGCTGCTCCTTGTGGAGCCAACACTTTATATGGATAAGGAGATTAAAAAAATTACAAAAATTACCAGGATGTCATAGTTGAGATTTAAAATTATGACTTATGGCAACTTTTCAACCCGTATTAGCATTATTTTTCTTATGTTAAAGGGATTTAAACGTTTATATACCGAATAATTTTCATTTTTACCCTATTTGCACAAGGATTTAATTGAACTCCCTTTGCTTTACTATCTCCGCTCTTCGCTAGTCCATGGACCTTTTTGAGAGAGAGCCATCGACCTCTGTCATATAGTTCCTGCGTACTCTATGTATCAGTTGTAGCCAGTAATCTTACTAATAGCTTGTTTGATCAAATTATTTCTTTTTGCCGCCAAAAGTGTTTTTTCTAAAATTAAAGTGTTTGGCCAAATATTTAGAAGGAAAAAAAGTGCTTTCAATTAGAAGTAGAAGATGTTTTTGAGAAGTTGAAAAAAAGTAGTTTTTCCTCATAAAGTATCTCTTTTAAAGTACTTTTGAGAAAATACATTTATAAGGACTTTTTAAAAGCTTAGCCAAATAATAATTGCGGCTTAAAAATACTTTTCAAATTAATTAGCCAAATTCAAATTGCTTCTCACTAAAAGTATTTTTTTGAAAAACACATCTTTTTTGAAAAGCATATTTGAGAAAATATTTTTCAAAATAAACTGATTTTAAAAGCATGACGAAACATGCTGTACCTTCTATCTACATTGTTGGCATACAAGACTATGAAGCAAGTATGGAGCTAGTCCACTTAAGAATTCTCCCTAAGGCAAGAAAACTATCAGCATTGTGTGAACAAATTAAAGGATCACAACTCAATCTATTTTTAATTTCCGTTTTTTCGTTTTTTTATTTTCTTTTAGACCTAGGGGGAGGGGAGGAGGAATTGATGCTAGAGTGTATTTGTTAATTTACTTTCAACAAACATCAACTAACTGATTCTTGTAAACACCATTGATTTTCTTCAAATTCAGAAAAATTCATTAAATTTTTTATCTCTGAAAAGGGCTGTAGCAGAACACTTATCTCAAGATCTTCCATACAAGTTGTCACCTGATGATGTTTACTTGACAATTGGATGTACTCAAGCAATTGAAATAATTTTGAATGTTCTTGCTCGCCCGAATGCAAATATTCTACTTCCAAGGCCTGGATTTCCTTATTATGAAGCGCGAGCTGCGTATAATCATCTTGAAATGCGTCACTTTAATCTTCTCCCTGAAAAGAAGTGGGAGGTAGACCTTAATTCAGTTGAGTCTTTGGCAGATGAAAATACTGTTGCTATTGTCATTATTAATCCTGGGAATCCTTGCGGTAATGTCTACACATACCAACATTTGAAGGAGGTATGCATATCCTTTTCTTTTGGTAATATATTGACTTCGAGTTATTTTGATTGTAACAAAGTGGTTTAATTTCTTCAGGTGGCGGAGATGGCAAAGAAGCTTGGAATTTTAGTTATTGCTGATGAAGTTTATGATCATCTTACTTTTGGAAGTAAACCATTTGTGCCTATGGGAATATTTGGATCGATTGCGCCTGTTATTACACTTGGATCCATATCAAAGAGGTGGATTGTCCCTGGTTGGCGACTTGGTTGGCTTGTTACAAACGATCCAAATGGAATACTAAAAGAATATGGGGTACTTACTCTTCTTTGAAAGATGGTCATTCTGTACTATATTCACATATGTCTGCATATTCTCACTTTCGTGTTTTCCTATTTGCAGGTCATAGATTCTATTATGGGGTATCTCAATCTAATTTCTGACCCCGCAACCCTTATTCAGGTTTATAATACTCTGTTCTGCTTGCCTTCTTTTGAAAATCTAATGCATGTTATTCCTTCTATCCAGGGGGAGCCAGCATGTTGCATACGGGTTAATTCGGTCGAACCCATTAGCTTTTGGTTCAAACCCTATTAGTTTAATCCGCCTCTGCTTCTAGCCACACTTTGGTCTAATGGCGTAGTTATTTAAGAACTTATTAGTTTGGATGTATTTTCCACATCTTTTACTAAGGTATCTGATTTCTTTTTGACAGGGAGCAATTCCTATGATCCTTCAGAAAACAAAAGATGATTTCTTCTCTAAAATAGTAAATATACTAAGACAAGCTGCAGACATTTGTTATGACAAAATCAAGGATATACCTTGCATCACTTGCCCAAGTAAACCTGAAGGATCTATGTCTGTGATGGTAAGAGAAAAATGGAAGCTTAATTAACTTTTAGTTTGAGATTAGTAGATATAATCAAATATCTAATTAAGGTCTTTCCCTTTCCAGGTCAAACTTCACTTAAACCTTCTAGAAGACATTGAAGATGACCTGGACTTCTGTGTCAAGCTTGCTAAGGAGGAGTCTTTGATAATTTTACCAGGTAAAAGAACAAGCAAACTCTCTTATAAAGCATCAAACTCTATCAAAGACAGTAGTATTTTCGTACTCCAGAAAATGTCTTTTTTGGAGGATTTCTCGCACGCCTTTAGTAGTTAGAACTTTCGTATTCAGACAAGCATTTGTCAAATTTGATTTAGACTCCATAAATATATGTAACCGAGTTATATGAAAGTCAAATTTATGCGCTTTTGATTTTGTTGCATGAATTTACTGCATGTACTCGATGCTTTGTTGTATAGATATATGACAATAAGGCTTGGTGCAGGTGTTACTGTAGGACTCAAGAATTGGCTCAGGATAACCTTTGCATGTGAACTATCAACTCTAGAAGATGGTCTCAAGAGACTAACTGCTTTCTGTCAAAGGCATGCAAAGAAAAACAATAAGCTACTCTTAGAAGGAAACTTGATATCTCTCCATTTTTAGGAAGTCTCAGATTCAATTCAAGAGTTGAAAATGTGATCATTAACTACACGTTGGATTGTTGGTATGGTAATATTCACAGTTGTTACCAAAAAAAACTGCACGTTGGATACTCGATCGTTTGTGGTGTGTGATAGCTCATAAATAAGTTGGCCAAACTCTCAACAATTTCATTGAGTCATATATATGTTATGTGGAATGGTATATGGTTCTGTAGCATCAGAATAGCATCATGCTAGTTTTACTGCATGTGTTTGAAAGATAGCTTTAGCCTAGCTATGCTAGAAAAGTGTGTGTGAAATGTTGTGGATTATGCTGATCTTAATTCCTGATTTGCAAAGTAAGGAAACAGAATTTAGTGGGTCATTTAAGGCGAAAACTATTGTGCACCTTACTGTTCTCGAAATATTAACATCCTCGCATTGCCAACTCCAGCAATCCGTGCATTGTTTTTTAGCAGTAATTGTCTTTGCCAAACATATGGGATCCCATTCATGTTCATGATTACTTTCTTCACTCCTTCAGTTAGATTATATTGTATGGAGTAGTTGCAAACACCGTCTTGCATTAGTAAATACTTATCCGTACTGAACCGTTAGAGATGCCGCAAGTAGAAATCATATAGCCTAATTGAGATGCCTCAAAGAATGATATCATAATAATCAAAACCATATGTGGATATTCATAATAAAGGCGAGGACCTTGCTATAATGAAACGCCAACTGTTACCATAGTAGCTAATATGCATTAAACCGCATGCTAGAAGTAAGGCCTCCATAGCATCAGGTGTGCAAATTTCCTAACATCACCAATATAAAATAAAATACAAAATACAAATAAGAGTTTGGCATTCAATCTCATATTTCAAGAAATCCAAAAATCTCTGGGGACTAGCACGAGCAAAAATGATTGATAGTTTACTGTTTGAAATAGATAAGAAAACCCAAAATTCAAAAAGCTAATCCGAAGATATTTACACCTAACTAAATTAACCTTAACAATCATGGTTAAGTGTTTGAAAGTTTTTATGCAAAACATATATTACACTCATTGATAATAAGTATTTATCGTCCTTATATGCCTCAATACTCTTCTCTAGGGGGCTCAAAAGAACTCCTAAAACCGGCAGAACTGTAGCGCTTTGAAAATTTTCGAATTTAGTTTAATACTTTAATCGTGATTATGAATATAGAAAATATTATTTTGTGTACCAATGACAGCGAGGGATTGAGAAAATATTAATGGACATGTTAATACTTATATATTAACGTTTAATTATGTTCAAAATATGAGATGAAAAAAAAAAAAAGAGAACGAAAAGAAGTTGGCGTGAATATGCACTTAATGGCCAAATTATAGCTTTTGTATACACTCAGACCTCTCTATAATAGAATCATTATATAACAACATTTCATTATAAAAGCCAAGCTTTTTCGAAACTAATTTTTATATTATGTTATAATATATGTTCTGTATAACAGCACTTCTCTGTAACATCCAAAAATATTCAGAACAAACGACGTTATTATAGAGAGATTTGATTGTATATGTTTATTCTTGGTCATGAAATGGGACCTTTAAATGAAAAGAATCTTTTCCACTAAGTGGGTCCAAGCCAATGGAGTAAATAATGAACATGGAATAAACCTCCCTTGTATTGCTATACCCGATAATTTTACATTACAAAACCAAACAAAATAGTTAGTGTGGCTCCTCAAGAAGCTCTCGGCCAAGACGACTCCTATACCAGTGAAAGTAAGTTTTTGTCCAAAATTTTGTATTAGTTAGAGATATTAGCATCTATATTAACATTGTTACCCCTTTAAATTGAGTAGATTCAATAAGAATACTAAGTGTCTTCAAAAATCCCTAAAGTTGATTTTTGGGGGTTTCTTCAAGAAGGTAATTTTTACACTTTGGAAAATAAGTATGAGTTATTTATGAGTAGTAATGGTTGTGAAAGATAGTATTTGAGTTGGTTGGTTGTTGGAGACCATAATGTGTAACAATAGCTTGTTGTTAATGGTGTTGGTGGTTTGGGGGAAGGGGTGATGGATAATGTCGTTGGAATTTAAATGTTGGACTTTATTAACTTGAATGGGCCTAGTATTACCATTGTTGAGGTTCTTAAAGCTATTGAGCATGATATTACCAGCAAGGTTGATTTAGAAAATTTTAAGAATTAATCTAAGTCTCTTACATTTTTTTTAAAAAAAATAATAAATTAAATTGATATTGTTGGGATATTTTATTAATTAATATGAGCTCATATATGTAGAATGAATTTGTTGAATATTGTTGGAACGGCCGGTGCGACTTTTAGCTAACTTAGCGGAATATCGAGGTATGTCGAGCTTCTAGCTTCTTGTTGCTTTCCAAAAAAAAAAAAACTAACTAATCTATGATTTATTTATTTATTTTGGTGACTTGATGATATTCCTTGCACGTGCGGGACAAGCTCGCATTATTTACTCTTTGTTGGAACTAAACGAATAAAATCACTTATATGACTAAATCTCAAATTAGATGAAGATATCTATGGGTGCTATACATATATTGTGCTATTGAGTGATGCCCCACACTATCAGTATGATATTCTTGATCCATATAGATTTATATAATTCGTGACATGCTTCTACATATATTGTTGTGTTCCTTTCTTTTGGTTATTTGGTTTACATAAAATTAAAGTTAAAACGCTATCCATAGCGACTAACACCTATGGTCTAGCTGTGCGGGAATGGTACGACAGCCTTCTTAGATCCTTGATGTATTACATAATGAAATAATTCTTGGTCGATGGACACGATTCTATAAATAAATAAATAAAAGAATGAAAAATATATTTTTGTCTAGCTGTGCGAGAGTGGTACGGCAGCCTCTTGGATCCTTGACTGTATACATTAGCCTAACTGTTTGGGGATAGTACGTCAGTCTTCGTGGATGGCATCCTGATGTATTCCAGCACCATAAGTGCCATTGATATTGAGACACAAGATAATGAGAACAATAATTATAATAAGATGCCTGACACATAAGAAATACATTTCTCGTCTTGCAAATTTAAATCCCTTGGTGTAATTTTATGTACTTTACATTATTTATATATCTTACTTGAAATTATTGATCTCATTTATTTTGTTACATATGATTATCTATATAACTCTTTCCCTACCACGAGTGGTGGTTGACGCATATATGAGTATTTCAATACTCAGTCATCGTTTGTTTAAATGATATCAGGTTTAGCAGACGGTCGGGTGCAGGACGGTCAGCGCACAAGTTAGAGTTCCTGCAGCCTCTTTTCTTATTTTTGGTGAGTCCACCTTTGCACTCGTGGGCCACTTTGTTTCAGTTGTATATTTTTGAATAGTGCGGGCTACCCCTGCAACTTTATTATTCCATTCGTTGCGTCATAGAGGCTCCATAAAGTATGTGTATTATTTTAGGCAGTGGGTACTCACATGGTATCACATATGACATTTTACTTATGTCCAAATTACGCTATGAACTTTTATTGTTAATGAAGTTTATTTTATTTCTCTCGTCTAATATTATAATTTATTAAATAGATTGAGCTACACAATTGCGAGTTGAGGTAAATATTAAGCTGCAATGGTTTGGTCGGTGCAAACGGTGAGGCACTGGGTGCCGGCCACGTCGCAATCCATTTTGGGGCGTGACAAGTACACATTGAATTGAACTAGCGAACTGATTTTTAGTTTTTGTTTTCATAAACATATAGATTTATGGTTAGTGATGGTATGCTAAAATCCCGTATTTTAGTCAAAGTTTGCACTCCAATTACTGTATTTTACTTGTGTTTGAGCTTAAATATTAGTGTATTGCACTTATTATGTGTTTTATGCCTTGCAGGAAGTGATTTTGAGCTATTAAGATAATTTGAACAAGTTAGAGCTTTGAAGTCTAAGTAAAAGCCCAAGAAATTAAGGCGGAATCACGTTCGGGGATCGAGGACTAAGTTTGGATGTCAAAAAGTGAGGAAAAAATATTACTCTAAGAAAATTGCACTACCGCGCCGCGCCATGCGTAACGGGGCGCTAGAGCAAAATTCTTGCAGAGTGTAAAAATCAACTCTCTGAACTTTTCCACAGGCACACTGTGTGGGGCGGCGCGCCATGCGCCGCGCATGTGCAATTTTTACAAAGTATTTCTCCTAGTTCACCTTGAAAAGGATAGTTTCGTCCAGACTCATTCTTACATGATATAAATACACCAAAAATACGAAATTTAGAGAACTCTTGAATTTGGAAGCTTTGGGAGAGCATTGGAGGCAACAAGACACGGGATTTCATCATCTTTCCATCAATTCAATACAAGAATTTGGATTGTAACATTAGATTGATACTTTCTTATTCTTTAATTATATTTGTGATTATTTCCTCCATGATTATGGAGTAGTTTCCTATAGGGTTTGACGGATTTGGTATGTTGATAAATATTTGTGGATTTCGACTCTAGTTCATGCTTGAATTCGTTTATGGAGTTTTGAATTGTTATAACTTTATTCATCGGTTTATTTAATCGAAAGAGGAATGTCTTGGTGATTATATTTACATTATTTTGTTTGATTTAATTCATTGATTCTCTTAATGAATCGGAAAAGCTTGTTGAATTGTTGGTTAAATCAAGTTAGGAGAATATTCAAGAGACGTTTTCCTAAGGACCAGTCCATTAACGCATGCTTGCATACTTCTCAGTGCTTATATTAGTTCACCTCGTAGAGTTAAGATTTGATCAAGAGAGGAGTCTTGACTACACGTTTGAACTAATCATCGAGTGAATTCGTGAGAATCATTAGAATATTAGAGTGAATTAAACTAGAGTTAAATCCCAAATAGCTATCTTGCACCTATCGTGTCAAACCCTTATTCCTTACATTGATAAGAAACCAACTCTTCGAATATCTAATTCCTTATTGTCAATTGTCAATTGCTTTATTTTAGTAGTTAAACTTAGTTTATAATTATTTAACTCAAGTGTTGATCCACCCGAATAGCAATTAAATCAGAAATTACTTGAACATTATTTAAATTCAATCATTGTGGAGACGATAATTTAACTATTCTATCTTTGGCTAGCGAGTATTAATTTCGCATTATATTTTATGGTCGTCAAATTTTGGCACTGTTGCCGGAGATTGACAACCAATAGTGTTCAAAATAAATTTTGGTACTAATTCAGGAATTAGCTTTTGTCTTTTTTTTTTAATTAGTTAACTTGTCATCGAGATTTTTTTTGTAGTACGTGACAAGTCCTAGGAAGAAAACTTGAAGTATATATTCCTGATATTGAACTTTAAATGCTGTGAAGATGGAGCACAATCAGCCTAAGAAAACGGTTGAAGAGTTAGTAGTTGAGCATTATCACAAATCTGCTATTGTAGTACCCGACAATCATCTATGTGTTGATTGTCAAGCAGGTAAGTATTCCTCTTATGATTTATCTTTTGAAGAGTCTTACTCTATTTCTAGACCGTACAAGTATGCGGTTTCATATGGGCTTAATGTTAACTTTTGTTGGGATGAAAGCGAAGTGAGACAACCACCTCAAGAGGAGAATGTTAGTTTAGAAGAGCTTATGTATTAGTTCATGAATAGTGTTAAATAAAAATGTATACAAAATCAAGGACTTATACAAATTGCTGAAGCAATTAAGAACCTAAATATAACGATCCGGCCTGTCGTTTGGTATATTACAGCCCCGTTCCTCTATTTACTGCTCAATTTATGCTTTATAGCTGTATTATGACCTATCAGATTAGTTAGTTTGGGTCCAGAGAGATTTCGGAACGAATTGAGACACTTAGTCTCAAAATAGAAAGCTTAAGTTAGAAAAGTCGACCGAATATTGATTTATGTGTAAACGACCTCGGATTTGAATCCCGATGTTTTTAGTAGTTTTGTATGATAATTTTGGACTTTAGGAGCGTGTCCGAAAAATTATTTGGAGGTCCGTAGTGGAATTTGGCTTGAAATAGTAAAAGTTGAAATTTTGAAAAGTTTGACCGGGGGTTGACTTTTTGATATCGGGGTCGGAATCTGATTCTGGAAATTGGAATAGCTCAATTATGCCATTTATGACTTGTGTGAAAAATTTGAAGTCATTTCGAATTGATTTGATGTGTTTTGGGGCAAGATATAGAATTTAAAAGTTTAAAGTTCATAGATTTTGATTTGAGGTGTGATTTGTCGTTTTGATGTTGTTAGGTGTGATTTGAGGCCTCGAGTAGGTCCGTATTATGTTATGGGACTTGTTGGTATGTTCGGACAGGGTCCCAAGAGGCTCGGGCGTGTTTCGAATTGATTTCAGACCATTTTTCTTCATGTTGTTATTGATGATTCCTTCTGGTTCTAGTGTGACCGCACCTGCGGCTGGTTTGCGCAGGTGCGATGGTCGCAGAAGCGAGGGAGTGCTGGCTGGGGAGGCATCGCAGAAGCGAATCTTCAATCACAGAAGCGCGATCGCAGAAGCGGCCTGTCTCGCAAATGCGAGCCTCTTTCCCACAAAAGCGAAGGTCGCAGATGCGACCTCTTGTCCGCAAATGCGGAAACGCTGGGCAGAACCCCTTTAACTTCGGGGTTTCGCTATTTTTTAGCCATTTTTGGATTTTGGAGCTCGGTTTGGGCGACTTTGGAGAGGAATTTTTCCAGACAACTTGGGGTAGGTATTCTTGACTCCCCTGTGATTATATTACATGAGTTAATCTTCTTTTTCGGCGTTAGATTATTGATTTTTCAAGAGAAATCAGAGGAATTTTCCAAAATTTTAAAAAAATAAATTTTCGAGATTTGAATATCGATTCAGAGTCAGATTTGGGTGAAATTAGTATGGTTGAACTCGTAATTTAATAGGTTTTTGGATTTTGTGAGTTTTGTCGGATTCCGAGACATGGGCCCCAGTGTCGATTTTTCGAGCGGAGTTGAAAATTTTTATAAATTGTTAATTTGTAAGCGTTGAAGTAAATTGTGATTTATTTGCACGATGTTTGAATAGATGCAGATCGTTTGGCTTGAATTGAGGAGATAGAAATCGTTCAGAAGTTGATACGCACAGAATAGAATTTCTGGAGCATTGTTTAGCTTGCTCGACATTGGATTAGTCTTGTTCGAGGTAAGTAACTCTTCTAATCTTAGAGCTGAGGGTATGCACCCTGAATATACATGTTATGTGTTTGGTGTTGAGGTGACGCGCATGCTTGTGACGGGCATGTGGGCATGCACCGTGTGATCTGTAATTTCATTATTTCTGTGGTACTGTGTAGTTACCTGAACTTGTCTGTGATCATGAAATCTCTACGTACTAGAGTTATCGAGCTATGATTCATGTTAAAAGCCATGTTTAATCTACATGCTTATTCTGTTGGGACCCACTGAGGTCATTACTGCTGTTGAGTTATTCGTTTACATTGCAATGTCATACTCAGTCATATTCATTTCATTGCATATCATATCTCAGTCTTTATTGTTATTTATTGATACATCATATCATCATTTTTGGGCTAGTTCATGTCATTGTGAGCCCGAGAGATTAGAGAGGTTGATGATTGAGTGAGGCCGAGTGCCTGATTAAGAGAGACATTTATGGGATCGGGCTACACGCCGCAGTGGTTGTACTGATTTATGATAGCGCTTGGGCTGAAGAAAACCCTCCGGAGTCTGCACACATCCCCAGTGAGCGCGGTTGATTTATATTGAGGGATGGATCTTCCCTGGACATGGATCTTGTCTGAAGCATTTATACCTAGGGATGGATCTTTCCCACAGACTGGATTAGCCCTACTCGGTACTGAATGACTGATGATCAGTTGATGTGTATATTCTGGGATAGATCTTCCCTGGGCCGGATTGGCCATATATAGTACCGAGTGATTGAGCATGATGAGTGAAATATGTGAGACAATGAGATTGAGTACTCTGAGAGTGTGAGTACATGAGTTCATCTTTGAGATACATTGTATTAACATGCACACATGACATACATGCATCGAGATGTATTTTTCTCATATTGTACGGTATCACGTCATTCATGACTTCTCCCACATATTGACATATGGGCATAGTGATGTATTTTACACTAGCTATCTAGAAAGAAAATAAAACGTCTTATTTATTGTTGAAAGGAGTTTTGGAAAAATTACTGTTTTCAAACTTACTCATATTTTTGGTAACTTCGGTAAACGACTTGGGTTTTCACTGATATGCTTGAAAGACAGAACTAATTTTCAGAAATCATGATTAAGCTGAGTATTTTATCTTTGAGTCACTTCTTTTATTACTTGCTTTATGTCGTTATGAACTGTTATTGGTTATTGGAGTTGGACTCTGGCCTTGGTACAAGTTCATCACTACTTTCAACCTAAGGTTATGTTTGTTACTTATTGAGTACATGAGGTCGGTTGTACTCATACTACACTTCTGCACCTTGCGTGCAGATGTTGGACACTGATGTTGCGGAGACTGACGAGAGCTGGATTTAAAGATGTACATGCGTTCCGGCTGTAGCTGCCTCTTGTTCATGGTAGCCTTAGATTTATAAAGATCCGTTTATGTACATTTCGAATAGATGATGTATTTATTTCATACTAACTTTGTAAATTCTAATCTTAGAAGCTCATGATTTGTACTACCGGTCCTTGGGGAATGTATAAGATTTAGATATTTTCTTTTACTTAATCGTCTTATTGAATTTCATAGGAATTGGATAGTTAATAACTGGGTTATCTAGCGGGTTGGGTTAGGTGTCATCACGACTAGTTGAATTTTTGGATCGTGACACTAACAACACAAGTGAGTCAAATAGTAAATATACTTTTAGAAAGTTCATTGCATTGTGATGATGAATATATATAGGAAACACCCTATTGGAATGAGCCTATCCAAGAGGATGAGCATCTACAGAGAGAACTTCCCACTTTGCAAGAAGACTCTGATTCAATTGAGATGATTAAAGATGAGCCTTTGGTTGATTGTGAAGCAATAAAAGAAGAGTTCAAACCCACATCCACCTTTTCATATTTACAGCTTGTACTGCAAGAGAATGAGAAACAAATGGTCTTGGAAATGCCATAGGAATATTCACATGACTGTTTTTTTTTGTTTTCTTATTCTAACATTGATCATGTGAATTTTTATTTTTGGAAATTTACAGGAATATGCATGGATGGATCCTGTGAAAGAATGTAGGAACAAGTTGAGGATCATCATGCAAGAACAATTTACCGCTCAAAATAAGGCCAAAAAAGAAAGTAAAGAGCACATTTTGCAGATATCCACAGAGTAATTTGGCCTACGGAGCTTTATAAAGAAGCCCGAAAAGCAGAAACGAGGAATGAATTCAGAATTAGGGATAAAGTTCATCAGTTCTGGGAAAAGAAAAAAATTCAAGGGAGTTTTCTTTACCTCTTGCTTTTTACTTGTGTGTCATGGGAACATGCCACAATTTAAAGTGTGGGGTAGGGGATGTAAATATGTGTGTATAT